ACAACACTTTAACAATGCATCCCAATAATGGGAGAGGGTTTCTTATGGATACAGATAAAAAAGATGGATTGTCTTGGCTTTGTTGGTAGAGTACACCTTTTTTGGAAACATAGACTTTGTATGACAAACATCATAAAGAAAAAGACCCCCTCCTGTTTCTTGGAAAAGTGATGGTTCAAATCTTTACTTTTGATTCGTCCTCTTCTAGGTCAAATTTTCACCATTGTTTGAAATGTCCTTTGAGCTAAGAAAGTTTGGAAAGATGAGCAGTCTTATTATAAAGTTTCCTCTTTTAATATAGTGGCCTTAATTAAATAAAGGGAATTCGTGGCCGATGCAGCCTTCTCTCCCCCTTATGTTCTCTAATTTCCACGTGGCCTTTGTCGAGGGACCCTACTATTGTTTATCGTGGAAGGTCCCTAAACAGGTTCAAGTCTATCTTAAAGAATATTATGGGAGGCATGTCTTTATCTTTTGTTCTAATAATAAAACTTCCACTTTAGGGAATGATCTTTCGGATGATGATGAATTTTCCAATGGAAGTGTTAGTAGTTACATGTCTTTTGATGGAGAAACCCTTATTGAAGATTTTAGTACTGGTCTTCTAGAAGACTTCATTAAAGGTTTCAACGAGGAATATATCTGGATCTGGCTTCGTTTTCAAGAATATATATGGATCTGAGCAAAATGGTCACTCCAAGGCCTTTTTTCCCTATCATTTTGAAAAACTCAATTTTCCAGATTACTTTCATCAAGCTGCCATCACTCTTGTTCCTATCAATTGCAAGGGCAACTATGACAATTACAATTCCAAAACGGCTGGAAGGTTCTAGTGTTTCTGCCATTCTCTGGTACTTCGGTTTGCTAGTTTTAAAATTCGGGTTTGGTTAGGTTGTTTGTGGGTTTATTTTATTCATTTATTTAAATGTTCTTTGTTGTGTGGAAGGAGTTTCTTTGTTCTTCTTTTGGTTGTTTTGGTTAGCTCGTGGGCTTTCTATGGTGTGCTTTTAGATTCTTTTTAGGTGATTCTATTTGGTTGGTTTTTTGTTGTTTGTTTTCCTCTTTTTGGAAGGTTGTTTCCTGTTATCTTCGTAGTGTAAAGTCGTTTATCATTTAAAGCGAAATCCAGCTCAAAAAGCAACGCTTACATTTCTCGTTTCCTCCAACTCAATATTTGGAGTTTAACCTTTCAATATTTGGAGTTGAAAAATTCATGGTATTAACACATGAATTTATTATTTATTCGGGTTCAAGGAGTCTAAATTTGTAGCTTAGTTCTTTGATTAGTGGGTCATGCATGCCCACTTTATCTATGCTTCAATCTTGAGAGCACCCCATTTATCCCAAACCCAAGGACCTCTTACTCTCACCAGCTGCAACTTCCTTCTTGGTGAGGGCAACTACTCCTAAGAGGTTTTATGGGGGGAAAAAATGGAAGAAGTTATAATATGGTTAGTAAACTATTCAAACTTTACATATATACGAACTGCAACATTTCCATACACCTGAGTATAACCAATGTTGTTTTCTAGCTGTATGTTTTTAGGGGCGATCAATCACGAGCAACACAAGTTCAACCTTTAGTTTGAGTGACCGATACCTTCCGTTGCTAGAAGGATACATTAGTTATTGTTCTACTTAGTTTTTGATACAGTACTAAATGGAAATCTTACAGTAGAAACTAATAACTGAGGATGAGTTTTTTTAACAGTATTGTCACTAACTGAATTATGGCCTGCTTTGTAGAAGTAACATCATTTTTCAATATACTTGACGATTTGATCTGATGTATCTACATATAACTTACGTAGAGTTTTTTCTCTATGAACTTTCAAAGATCTCGATTCTGTATGTAAGATTTCAGAACACTTGGACGCCTAATGCCCGGCCTAATATGATTAGAATTATATGATTTCACTAATGTTATGATGCTTCGGTTTTCTAATGCATGTGTATGCTTTCTCTCTATCTGCCAGCGCAGGATTACCCTAGCTTATCATTACGCTCCATGTTGATCTTTCTATTCATATATACTTAATACGTGATGCTTGCTTACTAACACAGTTGGGATGTTCTTGCAGTCGGTTCTTGCAATGTAGAGGTCCATTTGCAAAAAGAAGGCACCCACTGGTTGACTCTTCAGTGGTTTCAGAAATCAGAAGATGTCTAGAGGATGGCACGGAATTTCAAGGCGAATTGTTGAACTTTAGGAAAGATGGTACCCCATTGATGAATAAATTGAGGTTAACACCTATCTATGGAGATGATGAAACAGTAACCCATGTTATTGGTATCCAGTTCTTCACTGAAGCCGATATTGATTTGGGACCTGTGACCAGTTCTACAACGAAGGAGTTAGCAAAATCGTCTGATAAGTTCCGTTCTGGCCTTTCATCTTTTCGCTTTACATCTGTTGGGGACCGAAATATTTGTCGTGGTGTATGTGGTATTCTCCAATTGAGTGATGAGGTGATATCGTTGAAAATACTCTCACGGTTGACGCCCAGAGATATAGCGTCAGTAGGATCTGTTTGTAGGCGGTTTTATGAGCTGACGAAGAACGAGGATCTCTGGAGAATGGTCTGCCAAAATGCCTGGGGTAGTGAAACAACACGTGTACTAGAGACTGTGCCTGGTGCAAAAACTCTTGGCTGGGGCCGGTTAGCCAGAGAATTGACAACTCTCGAAGATGCTGCCTGGAGGAAGCTAACCGTAGGGGGATCTGTCGAACCCTCACGTTGCAACTTCAGTGCTTGTGCAGTTGGTAATAGAGTTGTATTATTTGGTGGGGAGGGTGTTAATATGCAACCGATGAATGATACCTTTGTACTGGATTTAAATTCTAGTAAACCAGAGTGGCAGCATGTTCAAGTTAGTTCTCCACCTCCTGGTAGATGGGGTCATACTCTTTCTTGTGTAAATGGTTCTCATTTAGTCGTCTTTGGCGGTTGTGGTAGACAGGGCTTGCTTAATGATGTTTTCGTGTTGGATTTGGATGCGAATCCTCCAACCTGGCGTGAAATATCTGGATTGGCTCCTCCGCTTCCAAGATCATGGCATAGCTCCTGCACTCTTGACGGCACCAAGTTGATAGTCTCTGGTGGTTGTGCAGATTCTGGAGTACTTCTGAGTGATACTTTTCTGCTCGATCTCTCAATGGAGAAACCCATATGGAGGGAGATACCTGTAACTTGGACTCCCCCCTCTCGGTTGGGACACACATTATCTGTATATGGTGGCCGGAAGATTTTGATGTTTGGAGGTTTAGCGAAAAGTGGACCGTTACGGTTTCGATCAAGTGATGTCTTTACAATGGATTTAAGTGAGGAGGAGCCATGTTGGAGATGTGTAGCTGGAAGCGGAGTGCCGGGTGCTGGAAACCCAGGAGGGGTAGCACCTCCGCCTAGACTGGACCATGTCGCTGTGAGTCTCCCTGGTGGCAGAATACTGATATTTGGTGGCTCAGTGGCGGGTCTTCACTCTGCATCACAGCTTTACCTCCTTGATCCAACAGAAGAGAAACCAACATGGAGGATATTGAAAGTACCTGGACGGCCTCCAAGGTTCGCATGGGGACACAGCACGTGTGTCGTAGGGGGAACGAGGGCAATAGTCCTGGGAGGTCAAACTGGAGAGGAGTGGATGCTAAGTGAGCTTCATGAACTATCATTGGCCAGTTCTCTCATCTGATTTGAAGAGGGAAGAAACAAAGAACAGTTGAGAGAGAGAGAAAGAGAGAGAGAGAGAGAGAGAGCCATGGATTGCAAGATTATGGTGAGAGATTGATTGATGTGTTGGGAGAAATGTTGTTGCTCTGGTCTGGTCTGGTCTGGTCTGGTCAGGACTCTCTGTATTAGATATGTTTGTTCCAAAAGAGCATCATATTATTCTTGTATGGAACTGTTCTGACTCAGAATAAAACTTTAAAATTCAGTTTGAAAGGAGTGACGCCAATACCGATTCTTGCGTTGGGTGTGAGTTTTAGCAAGAATGTTTTCTTCCATATTAGGGGTTAGATTATGTTGACAGAGGGATAGGTATCTATATATAAGTGCATATTCTTAGTATCATAACAATATTTTGGTCTCTAATGATTCAGCAAACAGGGAGTGCGTCCATGTCTGTCTGTAATAACTTTCTGCCCAGGATTGGAACAACCAAGATCTGAAATACACAAGCAACCACTGCTCTTTTCTCTTTTCTGTACAACTAACACTCTGCTGCTTATCTTATTTATTATATATATTTTGCTGTCTTCATTTTTCCTCTTTTCTCTGCTTCCATTCTTTACCCTTTCATTTTCCACCAGCTAAGCGATATATATATGTGTTTCAAATTCATTCATTTTAGAATTCTAGCTCTTCTAGAGTGATATCACTCGTGACCCGGGTCCCTTGGAAGGGGGTCTTTTTCGCTCTCTACCTAAGCTGCACAGGAAAGGCCCAAAGTCGATCTTAGGAAACAGTGAAGCTTCATAGGATCTTTCTGTCTAGGTGCAGGTAGTCAGCATCTTCACAGACATGTCTATTTCACCGAGTCTCTCTTAGACAGTGCCCAAATTGTCACGTCTTTCGTGTGGGTCAGAACTTACCTGACAATGAATTTTGTTACCTTAGAACCATTATAGTTATCGCCGCCGTTCACCGAGGCTTCGGTCGTTAGTTGCTCTGAGGCCACCGTACATGGTCTTATTATGAGTGTTACAGATGGTTTAATGAGAGGAATGGAAGTGGTTAACATGAGAGCTCTTCTAAGTGTTCCAGAGCAACTCAGTATTGATAATTTGGTTGCTCTATTCGCTTCTTTTTTAAGCTCAGTATTGATAATTTGGTTGCTCTATTCGCTTCTTTTTTAAGCTCAATAATGGTGTTCGTACCCATCCAAACACGTGCATTTTGTTTAATAAAATATGACCCATGATTTTAAAAAAAGAATCATACATAAATCCAATGGCCACTAATGATTTGGCCAATCCAACCCATGATGATCAAATAAGTCAGTTTTGTACCAAAAAGAAACGCCAGACTTTGAAATCAAACAATGCTGATCCTCTCGCATTATTAACCAAATCCAACAGACTATTTAGTAAAATGAAAAATACCAATATTTACATGGTCATAGCTACCATCATCATACTTTTCAACAGTTTCAGATTGAACTTCATACCAGAAATCAGTGCCACAGCTTCATGCAGAACCCGGGCGGTGTCGTCGTCGGTTTTTTGCTCGATATGCATTCCGAAAAAGTATCTACAAGTTGTTCTGCAAGAGATGCTGGATCTTCAATGAAGGTATCCACAAACACTTTCACAATCTTCACTTCTTGTTGGGATGCTCTCAAGCTGTACCAAGTAAGAAACTTCTGTCTGAAATTTTTTTCGATATGTCCTTCGCACTCTAACCATCTAATAACCTTCACATAGTGTTCAAAATCCCGATCCGAAACACCATTTTCAGTACATTTATCGTCCTGTCTTTCCCCAGTTCGCATCTTCGACGTGCCACCGTCTTGAGGTTCCCCACCTTTTCGAGTCCTGTTGTCAACGTCCTTGCAGTTGGATTCCAGTCTCTCACCCCTACCAAGACTGTCCTTTAGCACTTCAAGCTTGCAGGGTGTAATAGGCAAGCCATCTTCAGAACAGCCAACGAACGGCTGGCGCTCCATTCCAGACCGAACCAGAGCGCCTAATTGATTATTGGTGTTGAGTTTCGGCGCAGATGATCCATGCCTGTTCTCGAGCTTTGATCCGACAGAGTTTGGAATCAAACATACAATTCCAGCAGCATTTGCCTCATCCAGCACAGGTACTGTTCCTGCTGCCGTTCCTTCTTCACCATTGTCACTGAGGTTAAAAGCATCAGTGGATAAAATAGCAGAGGAATGCATTTCCGTGCCCTTTGAATGGGCGGTCGAGTTCTTTCCTACGTTATCGGTTCGATCACTATAGGGAAGAATGTCAGTAGTTTCGTCTTCAACCGAAGAAGGATTCGAAAGGTCGCTACAGTTGGTTGCATGGCTTTGGCTTCTCTCAATTTCTAAACAACCTGGGTTCTCTTCTACCTCCCTAATTGTTGAGAATTGAACTTCAAACTCCCTCAACTCCCTTGTCCCTTCAAACAAAACAATTTTGAAATGATATTCAGTAGCAGGTGATAGTCCCATCACGACACACCTCGCCTTCGGTTGTTGTAGAATATATGTTGGTTCTGTTGGATAATCTGCATCATCCGCCTTACGATGCCATAACGTGAAGCCGACCCGGTTCTCAGAGGATGATCCATATTCACAACTCAAAACCAGAGTGAGGGATGTCGACCGAACATCTTCGAATCGAACCATGTTTGTCGGAACAAAACTTGCATCTGCAAAACTAGCTAACTATAAATCACAGGGTTCCTAGACAAGCTATTAAAGGATCTGCTTAATATAATCTTACCTTGAATGTCAGGATTAGGCACAATATGTAAGGATTTGCTGGAGAGCATCGAATCGAGTAACTCAATAGCAGAAGCACAGAGTTTTTGAACGTCGGGTCCAGATAAAAGCCTGTTTACGATACCTCGACCCATCTTTACCGGTGCACCAGCTATTGGTCCCACTTCAGCTTCAAGCTTCTTCACTGATTCATCAACAATCTGATAAAGCACTTTATACCTTTCAGTTCCATGGAGAAGCTTTTGGCTCAAAGAGACACGATAACACAGTATGTCGACCCTTCGTGTTTCTTTCGCATGAACTAGTTGCTTTCTGCAGCACCTGAAGAATGAACATAACAGGAAAGTTATATATAAGGTCTCACAATTGAAGGATCTGTGGAACCAAAAAAGATTATTACCCAAGCAAATCGTTTAGTTTCCCACAAGACACACAGTAGAAGCTCCCATCAACTCCCCTGCTTTGTCCGGCTTTCAAAATGCCCGATCTTTCATCTTTTAAAGCACATTCGAGATGACACGACATGTTGCACGAGTCACCTTGAAACGGAGGCTCCGCACTGCAACTTATCCACAAGCTAGGATCCTTGTTATCGTCATACTGACGACAGATGCAGCAAGAACACCTTCTACAAAACGTATCTTCTGGATTTAGAGTCGCTCGACAAGCCAAGTTCTTGCAGCTCACGGTATGACCCGAATCATTATGAGAACTAGTGCTCGGAAAGTCACTTGTAGGAACTAGATGATCGGATTTCCTCTGCCTTTTGGTAGTTTTATGGCCACTTGCAGGAGACTGTGGCTCAATGTTTTTCGAAACCTCAGGCACCGATGACTTGTTTTCGGATACAAGTCTCAAAAGATGCTCTATTATTTTCTGCTTCGTCAAGCCTGTATATTTCCTTTCTTTCCCCATCTCTGCACACAGCACTTGTAGAATGTCTTGACGACTCCATGACTGCAGTTTCTCACACGCACCGTGTGACCTCGAAATTTCATAAACAAGTTCTCTCTTCTCTTGCATACTCAACTTACTACATTTCGGCGAGTCGAAAATAGCACCTAGAACGTAGTATAACCGATATACATATCACTATCCAGCAAATAAAACGAGCATCATACGAAAACAAATTGACAAACACTTAACTACACCAAAGAAAACAGGCAAGAAACAAAGAACAGCCAGATTTAAAGGCAAAATGAACACAAAATTTTATGCATAGGATCAAAAAAATGTAAAGAACTTCAAATCTTTTGTTGCTTAACCATTCTAAGTCACAACAGTTTCTGTATGATTCTAATTTGACTCAATTAGATCTCCCAAAACGCCTATGCTATTATCAGATATTGATGGTTTTCTTATATGCAACAGCATACACTTTCTCTAATTCGATGAACTTTAAAGATACATAACAAGGAAGTTCTGGGTATAAAAAGTAAGAACAATGAACTAAAAAGCCACTAAAACCAAAACATGGGTCAAATCTAGCCTCACACACACAAGAAATTGTCCTTGTGGTATAACTCTAATGCAAAAGACAACCATCCGACCCTTAGAAAGCCTAAAAAAGAAGGCCATCGGTACCACCTAAACCAGAGAGAGAGCAAAACGAAAACCCAGAAGCCAGAAGAATTGAAATGAAGGAATATGGAAGAGAAAACAAAATCTGGAGGAAAAAGGATGAAAAGGGTACCATCGAAGGAAGAATCAGTAGCCATGGCGAAGGTGTTGAAGCCTCCACATTACCACCAAAAGACGAACATCTTTAAACCTGCCAAAAAGGAAAAGGAAGAGAAAAGAAGAACATATATAGAATTCGTGAACACAGAGGAGCAAAGAGGAAAAGAAAAGCGTAAAATTAAGAGGAGGAGAAGAAAAAATTAGGGATATTCAGATGGAAAGAAAGAGCGGAATCACAAGTACCAAGAAAGGACACCTTGTATTCCGCCACCACTAAAGATCCCATCATGACGGCGGAGGGCTCACAGACCTCTCTCTCTCTCTAACTCTTTTATGGGTCTTTTTTTTTTTAATCTTTTTCAGAAACCAAAACCCAGAAGGAAGAGAGAGAGACTTGCAGTGAGCAAAGGGAAAAGAGAACACCCAACAAAAAAAGGGACCAATTTGTTACTAAAAATACAATTTTTTTTGTGTATTTGTTTAAAAAGTTGCAAAATTTAGGAGTTTGGAAAATTTGTAATGCAAAAATCCAACGACCCATTGACTTGCCTGAGGCAAACCTTGTTAGAGTAAGGCGACTCTCCAGATATTGTTCACTTTGACCATAAAGTATCTATTGCTTTACTTTGGGCTTTTCCAAAATATCTTACACCAATGGAGAATGGTGAGAGTATTCTTTGATTATAAACCCAAGATCATTTTCTAAATTAGCGGATGTGGGACTTTCATCATTCAACAAACCTATTTTCCAAACCGTTAAGTTTGAATGAGTTTTCAAGAATTCTCAATTTGTACTAAAATTATGAAGAACAAGATGAACCTTCACTCATTTATGAACTTCCAAGTTCATACTAAAATTTTAGACTTCCTTGTGTTTAGTGACATATTGGACACAAAACGAAAAGTTCAAGAATTTATTTGTTATACTCGAGTAAAAGAGGGGTACATGAATAAACCGATACCACATTCCAATGAGAATGATCTTAAGAATATGATGACTATATCAACAAGTTGCACATTTCTTTTCGGTGGCTCAATCATAGAAACTCCAACTAATGGGATTTTGCTTGAAGCAATCTTATATTGGGTTGAAAGAACCTGGGTTTGTATGGGGGGATAGTCTTTACTTTCAAAAGCGTTACATGGTGCAAGAAAATGTCGGGTTTAGCTAATTGCACACCTACCTTCTATTTCGGACTCCAAGACTACAAGGTCAAGATGGCAACATGATTTCTGGCAACAACCAACTCTATAAGAATCAAATCAACACTCCATTCAAGAAAGTCAAACCCTAAGTAATAATTTATAAACCGTTCTCCAACTTTTCTTTAGTTATCTTCAATGGTAATTTAAAAACTGTGTTCTCGTGAAACGATCTCTTGTAATACGATATTTAGAATATTTCAACTCAACGTTGGCAGTATACATTTACATCTGATCGAGATTTTTGTACCAAAACACGTCGGGGTCAGGAAATAAAAGGAGTAAAAAGGAGTAGGTGGAATGCAAATTGGAAATAGGAGAAGGGCTTCAAATGTATCCTAATATGTCGGCAGTTCTATTGGCATTCATTACCTTATCTTTTATGTCAATATGTGTTAGGCATATATCATTTTCTTCATTTTAAATGCACATGCCTCCATTTTATTTTTAATTATAAAAAATAATTCATTTATTTAATTTAATGAGGTTTAACAAAATGCTATATTTATAACTATTTGTTTTTAAAAATTAAATTTTGAAAATATTTTTTAATAATATTTTTGCAAATATGATTGATGGCTACCCAACCATAAAGAGAGACAATATTATGAAGTCATCCAAATGCTCATTATTGCTTCTAAAACTATATATTATTTTTTAAATTATCTTTGATTAAATTCCCTATTGAGTACCCTCCCAATGGTTGACTTTAAGGGTTGTGCCACAGAGAATCATTATCCACTAGTAAAATTACCTATTTGTCCTTGTGATTTGAGTTTAATTCTTTCAATAATTTTGAAAGTTTTTTATCTAGTTCTTATAGTTTTGGCTTAGAGAGGGTCTTAAAAGTGTCGATCCTCTATTGAATTTTATACGTTTGTTCGTTCTAAAAGTTCGTTCTATGAATGAAATAAATTGAAAAGTTGACATGACCATAATTAACATTTTGATTGTTGAAGACCCAAATGATATCTAAACTTTTTAGACTATTTGGTTTTTTATGGCTGGATGACAGATATTCCAGTCTTGCTTGTCTTAGTCGGTTGACAAGGAGGATGTCACGGTCATGCTTGTCCAAAGCATGTTGCTTATGACCGTATGACAGATGTTCTAGTCTTGCTTGTTTGAGTCGGTTGACAGGGATGTCAACCAATCGAGTGGGAGAGGATGTCATGGTCATGCTTGTCCAAAGCATGTTGCCTATGGTTGCGTGCCTGTTCCAAACCTCTTTGCCTTTACCCTTTCATATTGGGTCAATATGGGGGTGTATGACCCGTTCACCAGAATCGTGTCTACACCCGCCTGGCAAAAATGCCCCAAAATGTAACACTAATTTCAATTTCTCAAATCTTTCTTTCAAAACTCTCTTTTGATTGAAATCTAAAACTTTCTTCTTAAATCGGGATCAAAGGCTCAAGCATACGTTGCTTGACCGTAGACGATGCAAGAACGACTAGGCATAAAGAAGTGAGTGCCGCCATCCCAAGTCCATTGTGTTTAAAAAATGTCTACTTTATTATTAATATTTTAAATTTAGGTCTAATATATCATTAAACTCGTAATGTCTAATAGGTCTGGTAGGTGCCAAACTAACTTAAAATTGGTATCAACATTTATTTCCTAAAATTTTAAAATATTTATTTTAGCTATTATTATTAATTACAACAATTAAGCATTTATTTAACGAGCATTGAGCCCAATTTTTCTAATACTTCATTTTTTATTTTTCTAGAAACCCAGGTGTTTGCCATTCGCCCTAATCCATTAGAACTTTTCTGTAAAAATTGTAGATCAAACACCAAACCAACTCGCTTACATAAAAGGAGTAGGACAAAAGGTTTTGAAACTTGAAAACTCATGCTAATAAACAAACTGTTGTGATCACGAAAAGGTCAAAACGTAGCAACTATTACCAACAAAATCGAAGTACCAAAATAGCTTGAACAGATAAAAAGAACAGGAAACATGGGCTGAAGAAAAACTCGATTACAAAATAATTTATGCAGCACCAGCTCCCTTTCCCTTCTTTCTTTGGAGCTTCTTCATATAGAATTCAAGCTCTTTGCCCTCCAAGATATATCTGTAAAAAGTTTGCAATACCTCAGTAACATTACCCAAAGATCCTTCTCCTCACCTTCAATGATTGTGTGAAACCAAGTCGGAAAGAACATCGATAGAATCTATAATCATTAAGAGTGTCATAATGCTTACCCGTCTGCTCGGCCACATTGACCTGGTCTTGATGAGATACAAGCCATCAATCGACCACTGCTGAATTGTTCTTCGATATGCGGATCGAGCTTACGGTCCTGCTGACGTTTCTCTATTTTGCGCTGGACATGGTTACTCTTCTTTACCTCTTCAGTTGGAGCATCACCTTCCTATCAACCATACAAATCAAGTTGTGTTATGGATGGAGTGTCGTATCACATTAAACTAAATGGTATCTGTTAGAAATGCCATAACTTTAGATCAGAAACTTAATTAAACATAAAAAAAACTTGTACTTGGAAATTGTGTAAACCGAATCAATCATTAGAGCTATAAATCTTCCTATACCTCTTCCTTCTTAGCAGATGCTACGGTCTTCTTCTTCCGTCCAATATCCACTCCATAATGCTGAAGATACCACTGCTTAAATGGTGCTGCATCAACTTGAACTATGGCACTCTTCACCAAGGTTTGAGTACGAACAAGCTCATTGTTGGATGCATTGTAGACCACATCAAGAATACGTGACTTCCTAGTCACGGCCTCACTACCCCAAGAGTAGTTTCCAGTATCAAGCCTAAAAGCACGCCACTTCACATTGCCCCCGCGAACTCTAATCCTCCTGATTGACTTGTCACTGGATATCTTGGTGTTGGCAGGTTGCCTTCCGAGCTCATACCTTCACAAACAATGAGGTAAGAAACAATAGCAAGAGGGCTTCAAAACACATTAGCAGATGAAAGTTGTAAATTGGATTGACAAAATTTCTTCTGTGATAGTTACAAAAGATGAAAGTTTACACCTTGCTACAACTACAACACTTAAAAACAAAAGATAAAAAATTTCGCCTACAAAATTACAGATTAGTACTGAAAACCAGGCAAAGAAAGATAATCACAAACTTTACCATAGAACTATTAGCAATTAATGAAAAGAAATGGAAAGAAAACTGATTGATCAATATGCACGCAGCAAAATATAAGAAGAGAGTTACTTTCTCTTCTTCCTCCAAGCCTTCTTCTTGCCTCCAGTGGCACGCCTCTTGTGCATAGAATCACGAGAAATTCCTATAAATGAAGTCTTCTCAGATTAACAAAAACAAAAAACGTAAAACATCGAGATAAGTAAACAATCTGGGAATTTGTATCTGACATACCCATGTTGCTGAGATGAGAGCTCTTGGCGTGAAGCCAAGTTTAGAGTTCCTGAAAAAGAAATATCAAACAACCCTTTTGAGAACAAGAGTAAATTCCCAACAAAGCCCATCAATTTTTTTTTTATAATCAGTTTTCTGAGCTTGGCCAAATATTTCCCAGTGTTCAATTCAACAGCATAAGAGATAATTAAGGCTGTTCGAGGGTTAATTTCGTTTGGGTGTATGAACCATGATCAACATTTATATAACAAACCAACGACCTAACCCAACCCAACTGTTTGTTGAAAACTAAAATGTTAATGAATTAATTAAGCCTCCTAAAATTAAAATATCACGAATATCACAAAGTACTAATAGCTATTAATAAGAATTCAAAACTTCTTAAACTTCATTAAGACCAACAACAATCAAAGACACAAGTTACCTTGGAACTACTATGGTAAATCTCCAAAACCATTGATATTACACGAACAAAAGCCTACGAAAAGTTAATCGGCAAATTGATAGCGCTAAACGACCACCTAAAGCTCATAATCAATAACTATATCAAAGAGCCATTAGCCAGAACCACAAAGTTATCGCAATGTACATCGTTAATAAACTAAAATGCGACAATAACCATCAAATCAGCATGAGCAAAAAGAGGACACCGATTACTAATACTCTCCAATATTTTACATTCAAACAACATTCTATTCTGGAACTGTGAGAAGGACGACTAACACAAAAAAAAAAAAGAAAAAAAAAAACATTAAATCAAGATTGCAACAATTTTAGAACCTGAGAAAATCTCGAAAAGAACAAAACACATCCAATGAGCAACGAACCTTGTGCGAACGAGAGAACTCAGGATATAGAAGGGAAGAGATTGTAGAGGACTGAGAGAGGGGTTTTGATGCGGCGAGGGTTAGGTTTAATTTCCTTTCAGTTTGTTCCACTGTGTTTTTAATGGGCTGGTCTATATATTGGGCCTAAATGTATGTTTTTTAAAATGGGCTGGACTGTCTATCTAATTTTATCTACGTTTTGGGCCATTTTAAACTTTTTATGGGATGGGCTGTCTATTGGGCCTTGATGTAAGTATTTTATACTGGGCTGGGCTGTCTATCTTGTTTTGGGCTATTTTAAGTATTTTCATGGGCTTGGCTGTATTGGGCCTGCATGTAAGTATTTTTAATGGGCTGGGCTGCTATCTAGTTTTATCTACGTTTTGGGCCATTTTAAGTATTTTTAATGGAATGGGCTCTGTATTGGGCCTTGATGTAAGTATTTTTAATGGGTGGGCTGTTTATCTAGTTTTATCTTCGTTTTGGGCCATTTTATTAGGCCTTGATATAAGTCTAAAGATATTTAAGATATTTTCTTTCGATAATGTTTTTTTTTAAATGAAATATTAATTGGATTAGTTCGCACAATGTCCTTATGCCATATATTTAATACTTTAATATTGATATTTGAAGGAAATCAAAAAATTAGAAAATCATTTTAAAAAAAAAAAAAGAAAAAGAAAAAGAAATCCAATAAATAAACTAGTATACTAGGAAGACATAAAATTAGGTAAATGAGAAAATATGTTCATTAAGATTAACATTAACCTTATTGCTTAAATAACTTAAATATTCTTTATTAATTGATATAATTGATATCACATATATCAAACATAAAATCATACTAAAAGTCCCCTATCAATGGTAACAAGCCAGAATTCTATGAATTTTTCCAGCAGTACTGCAACTAGAAGGCCTTCCAAGTGACACCCTCCCCATATTTCGTACGGTTAACGACTCGATGAGAGACGACGGAGATGAAGAAGACGATGACGACGACATAGAATCCCGAGGAGAAGCCATGAACTCGCAGTCCGAGCTGAGAAATGAAAATGTTTCCAACTTATCATTGCTATAGTCTATAGTTGTTGCTTGGGCAGCTCTCCCACCATCCCTACTCTTCTTGACCCTCCTCCAGAACCAAAGCTTCATCGTGGGTCGGGGTCGGGTTTTTGGTTTCTCAATGCACGGTAGCGGTAACCCGAGGCTGATAACTGCTGGTGGAGGGCTGAGGGGTGGAAGCAAGTCTTGAGGGGGTGGATCCTTGGGGGTTCCTGGCTGTGTTTCCCATTTGAAAGGGACTCCTTCAGCTGCTCCACAGTAATAAGTGCTGCGAGAAGAACAACCTATTGAAGATGTTCTTGCTATCACTTTGCTCTTCATATCCCAATGAAAGTTTCCATCCATATTCTCTTCTTTTTTCCCTAGAGAGTGACAGAATTTGATTGGTTTTGTTGGAGTTTGAGTGTTTTTGTTTTTTTTTTTCTTCTCTGAAAATTTGTATGAGATAAAGGGACTTTGTTGATGTTGTATATATAGAGAAATGTGCATTGGTAGGCCTATTTTTCAGGGTTTTGATGGAGTTTTGTGGCGCATGATCCTGTTCTTGTGAGGATTAATTTGCAAGTTATAACATCTGTAAAGTTTCTATTTTCCTTCTTTGGTTTGTCTTCTTCATATTTGAGTATATTATTTCCATTTTTTCTCTTCTCGGGAATTTAAAGCTCTAGCATAAACGTAAAAATTAACCTCATTTCATCCTATTTAGTAAAAGTTAAAAGGCATTTAACGGTACAATGTTATAACATATTATAGATTCGATGGCTATTGAAACTAAAAAATACACGGTAAGAAAAAAACCTAATCTTACTATGCAATACAAAAATCAAAATTTCAAAAGGTTTAATATCAACGAGCCTAGTAGACCAAATCGAAGCTTGGCTTAAATTCTTGCTTTCAAATGACATAAGCATAACTTATAAACCAAACACTCTCTATAGTAGCCTTCTCCCCATACCCTAAAGGCTTGAAATAATGTCGGGTCGGCCACCAAAATGGGCACGTTTTAATGATTTGACCTTCTCGAGTTGACTTTGGAAGAGTTTGAACATGATTAATTTACAAAGAGATATAAGAATCAATAATTTGAAAGGGCAAGAGGAAAGAGAAGAAAATGACGTAAAAAGCAAAGCAAAGCAACCCCATTCTTTTTGGTATTATATTGGGAACCCTTCAAATTAAAACATAAAGTTTAAACTATCAACAACCTTCTTTCACGGCCCCTTCAAAGAAGCTTAGAAACTCAATCTAAGTTTGAGTTTCCCCAGAATGTGTTTCTCCTGGAAATACGCCAAGATATCAACATCAAAGTTTTGCGAGAAAGATTTGCAATGACTTGTGGAAACTTGAGCATTATTTTTATATAAATAGTTAAAGACAAGAGAATTCAAATGTAAAGTTCAAACATTCAAACAAAAGGTTGAAAATATATAGGCCAAGAAAAAAAATTACAATTTGAACTCAAAGATAGGGCCATAATCCCACACCCGAAGTCCCAAGAAGAATTTGTGCCATCCCTAGCAGCAATCTTAATTGGTTCCGAAGAATATATCTTCATTCAACTTCTATCTATGCTTGAGGTTGTTTATGGAAAAATCTAATGCACTCGAAAATATGACCGGGATAATTTTGGAATGGTTAATATCACTTTAGGAATATGCAAAATCAATCTCAATATCGTGTTAAGTGTAAAACCAAATGTCAAATTGATCTTGAATGTATAAAGGTACATTTGAGAGTGATTTCACAACGTGACAAAAGTAATTTTAACCCTTTCAAAATCACACTTTCCAAACATACACTTAGTTCTTCATCCCCATTTCTAAGCATCCTATCTAAAAGTTTTATGGTTTGTGTCCTATAAAATTTAAGAAATCAATGCAAAAATTAATATAAATGAAAGTAGCAAGCAATGGCATCAATAATTTAAAGGCAGAAGGTTATAAACTAATTACATTAGTAATGAAGTTTAGAGTTATACATGCCTTTAGTGTGTGTATTCAAACAAGTAGAACAGGTCTACTGAATCACCTGGTTAAGAATTGCTGTACAAAGGACGGGTTTTACCGTTTTCTTGCCCATGCGGCCACTCAACTCTATAATACTCTACAGCCACTGAGCTTGTTTGTCTTCTATTGCCTGCACACGTGCCCAGAAAGAACGAGACCAGTTATGCAAGCAAAAATGAAAACATGTTTACCATTCATTAGAAGATATACGTAACATTATTTACAACTATATAGAAGAATAAAAACATGTTTACCATTCATTTCACCCCAAAAGATGAAAAGATATCGTTAACATTATTTGCATAATCAATTTTTACACATCAACAGTTATCTCAATAATGTTATGAATGCATGTCATCATTACATGAATTTCATTCTCATTATAAAAAAATAAAAATAAAAAACTCTACAATGGTATTTTTTGGGAGCATATGCAAAGTCCGAAGGTAAAAATAGAACTTTTTAAAATCCAATGGTAATTTGTATAATTTAGCCTAAGATATACAAGTAAGCCATTAATATGATTAAAATGATGGTATTAACGGCATTAAGCATATTTTGAAAACTAGAATTACATCAGGGAAAAACATCCCCACGTCTTGGAATAACTAAAACAACAAGGGATGATAAAACAAGTTCATTGCATTCTCAAAGCACTTTTACAATATATGCGTAGACATGAAACTAACCACAGTAACAAAAACCATCAGACCGCTCGCACTATGAAGGGGGAAAAAACCCACCACAAGAGAGTAAGTTCTAAAAAGGACTGCCAACGGGCACAAACAAAGAGAGAAATTAACCAGAGAGATTTGGCTTTGTCCCGGTTATCTTAACTACTTGAGAGCTAACATATAATATAGTAGTCACCTATTGAAGAAGCATTGAAAAATTCCAAAATCACCACAGCCCATACTATCACATGACTCGTTAATGGTGATTCTGGAGTTACAACTCCACAAAAAACTTGTTTAGCATGTTTGGATGGGAAGGGCAAGGGCTAGACAGATGGTTGATTTCTTAATGATTGTAACTAGTAAAGTATTACCATGAAAAATATGTTAAGAGAGAAAAAAATAAAATACTCAAATGGGATCATAAATATTTTAAGATTTTGTGGGAGGTCGGTTTTCTTTACTTCTTCTTGGAGCTTCTTACATATTCTTTTATAACTATCATCTTTCATCTATTAGTGCCAAATGAAGGCATCTACTGAAACCCCTTTGGCTTTTTGCATGAGCATTTCATAAGATCAAGGAAACGGTACCCTGTTTCTTTTATATATACACGAACACATAATCACACACAATAAAATCAAATGCTAGTTATGATTAAAATTTGAAGAACAAACGACAAAAAGTGTCTGGTTGAAAAGAATCTGAATGATACCTGTAATGATGGATTCTCAGCCAGAATCAAAAGGGCCCTTAAGACTCCTGAAAAAATGTTGGTGGTATATCAATTTAAACCCAAACTACATTAAGATGTGTAAGGAAATGCATTAATACCTTGGCCTCTCAGACTTGGCATGTTTAGACATAATTGATGCCTGAAATACAAGCCAATTAGTACAGTTATTAATTAATATAAACCTAAGTTTCTCGAAAAAGATCACAAATATTTTGGTTTGATCAGATCGATAGAAGAAAAATATATGGCATAGCCCAAATTAGGCAGAAGAAGAAGAAAGTCCAAACATTGTGTCTAAGACATAAATTTAATCAGAGGAAACTCCAATCTAAATACCATGCAAAAGAATTTCTCGTATTTCCAAACGGGTAGAAACTTCACGAGCACACCAAATTCAGAGAGATACGTGCTTTCAATGTGTCAGAACTATAGATCCAAAGGACCACTCACAAATTGCACTGATTTACATAATTTGAAATCTCTCATAAAATTAAAAAATAAAAATAGAATGCTTTCAATAGGGGTGTTTAGACAAACCGAAGACTCGAAAAACTGAGCAACTCAACCTAACCCACTTGGTTTGGGTTGGTTTAAAAATAATATGGTTCGGGTTGAGTTTTTTTTCTCTTTTTTTTTTTTTCTTTACTCCGAGTAGGTTGGCTCGGTTCTTAGGTTGAGGGCCTGAAATTTTGAATTGAACTGAACTGGCCCAGTGGCCATATTATTTCATGTTGTTAAACCCAGCACTGGCAACCCATATTATTTTTAAACCCAGCAGCCCAGCCAATCTTTACGTAGTTAGGTTTAGGGGTGTTAGTGGATTGGGTTTAGGGACATTTTAGACCCAACCCTGTAGTTTGACTTGCTGAGCAAATTGGAAACTTGAGATAAGAGAAGCTCGTTGAAATTGAAGATATGACACAGATTTTAATTGGCTGAGCAAGAAAAGTAGAGTACCTGCTCCTGGATTATGCTCCTTGCCTCTACAAGTTGTGCTTCTAACTCAAGTTCCCTCTCCGTAGCTTCAGAAGTAACTTCAGATTCTTTCTGAGCATCTTGCAGCTCTCCCATCCGCTCCTTCAAAGTTCAAGATACTATCAGTAATAAGTATCCATCTCTGTCTAGAAGAAAGTGATGTAGTATGAAAAACAATTCACCTTTATAGACGCCATCTTATTCCTAAGGCTCTCTTCAATCTTATCTCTAGCCATATGAAACGGAAGGTCAAAAACATCCTGCAAAAAAAATAAAAATAATAATAATGTTACCAATGCATCAATCAGGTGACCACATGAGAATAGTTTGGTCCATACCGTCCTCCCACCAAAGGAAAACCTTGCACCTTCACTTTCAACTCTTTCATTAACTGCAAGGGGTTGCTTAGGCAGTCCATTTGGAGCATTTAGGAAATCCCTCATATCAACCTGCAAACCGCATAGATGTCATAAGTACAGATGAGAGTCACAAAAGCATAACTCAAACGCATACAACAAAACAGACTATATATGAGTTTAAGCTACTAAAGAGATGTAGATCAACAATTCAAGGATTCAAGAAACAAGTCACAGACCACTTTTAATGAGAAGGTGAAAGGAAATCCAACTTGTTGAAATATTCTGGAAATCAATTGGAGTAAGTGGAGCACACACACAAACGACTATCATAATCATAAAGAACAGGTTCAAACATCGTATAATTAAACTAATGAAGTTCGGAAGGAGAAAATCCCTACTTGGTGAACTATTGGAGCTCTTTGGAACAAATCAACACTCTTGTAGACAATCGGCACAACCATTGTAAAAGCTAATAAATAAGAAAATTACTTCCGAAACTCCAACTTAAAAGTTAGAGCTCTGAAAAAATAAAATCCAACAATACATTAATATTTACAATAGAAGAGAGAAATACTTTCACAAAATAATGAAATAAACCAATAAAATAATGAACTTCAAAATTAAAAATTAAAAATAATTTAATAAAAGAATGACAGAAAACCTCGGTATCACAGAATCCACCATAACAGATTGTAGACGTATTTCACATACTATCTTTTTATAGAAATCATTATCAGTCTTCTTGCCATTCCAAGTTCCACGTTGTCGCCCTTCTTTCTGCTCATATCATAAAAGCCATTAAATGACTGGAATGATCCATTCTCTATACAACATTAAAATGGTTACAATATACCTGTAGCAAATTCATTATCTCCATTCCTGATCTAGATTCTTTCTTTTTCTCCATTAAAACTTGGTTTAGCCTTTCCTGCAGATATACAACAGCATCTCTTTGTAAATATTGATCTACTCTAGGGCTGAAAAACATCTCAAAGATATCCCACCTGCAATTTGATATACTCCTTTTCTTTCTTCTTCATCTCATGCATGTGTTGAGTTCTTACTTGCTTTGGTCACATAAACAGAAAGTATATTTCATCATCAACACTTACATTATCACATAGAAACAATTATCTATCACGCAGCATCCAACTACCCTAACCTGATTGCCAATAACCATTCTTTGAAACTCATCCTTTTCCTGCTGCAGCTTATCAATTTGGGCTTTGAAAGCTGCCTTAGCTTTGGCTTCCTAATGGGAAAATTTTTCCTTGTTCAATACAAATAAGATAGAGAAATTATAGAATTTAGAGAAGTCTTGAGATTGTACTGTTCGTGTAATTGTTGCAATCTCCCTATCTTTAGCTTGTATTACTGACTCCAGCCTCTCAACTTTAGTCTCCAATCTTGATATGTCTAAAAGTAGTCTACCACAAGAAAATAAAGGGAAATGTGGACAAATAGAAAGATAAATTGACATGATAGTATTTCAAGGAGACATGATGTGAACTAGAATAAGTCATTCCATCATATAAATGAACAGAAATATCATCAAAATTTAAGAACAAAGTCAAGCTATAGATTAGATGCAAAGGTGTGAATATCTTCCAAAATATAGAACAATGAAGAGCTGAGCACTTCAAATCCGGGAAAAAAGATTTACATTTGCACACATAGAAAGTTTTCTAGAGCACTTCAAATGACTTGATAAAGTAAGAGGCGTGTTGACTGTTAAAGAGTATTGTAGTTCAACTTTCTCTTCTAGGGTTTTGCTAGGTAAACCTTTCGGTAATTATGAGCAATCTCTGAAATGTGACAATTGGAGGAATCTTTTGTAACTCCTTTGATTTGAAGGCTGATGATTCAATTTCAATTATCTATGAAATCGTTTCCGTTATGAACATAAAAAAAAAAAAAAAAAAGATAAACATCGATACCATAACCAAACAGAACATCTTTTGAAGAATGTCTTAGCACAGTCGTATAAATTAATTCACAATTGATGCACTCGGTGATGTCAGGCGCCATATCATCAATCAATCCTAAAAAATGCCGTTACCTTTGTCTCTGTTCATTAGCAGATTCCCTAAAGTCAATGTCACGCTGCCTCTGTTGAAGCAGGAAATATATACAATTGCACGTCCTCGCGATAGACACCTACATATTTCAGTAGACATATCAAACTTAGAACATTTTCCATAAGCAAACAAAATAAAATTATATATGCATATGTATATTAAAAAGAAAGGAAGAAACCAGCTTATTGACTAAAAGGTAAAACACTAACCGGATCATTCGAGAAAAGATCGAGCGAAGCCGGAAATCCAAATGTGATAAGCGTCTGGTTCAAATACTTAGCGCAATGGTCCAAGTTAGTGACATCCGCAAATGTATAGTTACTGAAAACACACAAAACCTCAAAGCATCAACACATTTCGCCTATACACTCGCCACACCAGCTACCATACAAAAAATGCAAATGTAGACAGACAAAGCTCGGCAACAACAAAAACAGGAGTGACAGCCCTAAAATGCAGAGGAAACTGACCCGACCGAGTAGATAGACTGCGGAGATGGCTGCAAAGAAAGAAACAGAAGACAGAGAAACCAAAACAGTGTCAGAGAAAAATGAAAAGCAATGAACCGGTGTATTGCAGTGTGCGAGTTCGTAAGGAATCTTACACTGAGATCAAAGTCTGTTTTGGTTGCTGCCATTGTTGGAACGTTGAAGGAGGAGGAGGAGGAAGAAGGGCGGATCAGGTGGATAGATCCATGGCGGAGCGGTGAAGAAATTTAAAAGAAAAGTACGACGAACTTTGGAGCTGGAAGAGAACTAGTAACAATGTCCACTAACGACGTCGTTTCGTTTGTACGAAATTTATATGACTGAAATTTGGAGTTCGAGTGAAAGTATTATACGAAATTTATATGACTGAAATTTTGGAGTTCGAGTGAAAGTATTATACGAAATTTATATGACTGAAATTTTGGAGTTCGAGTGAAAGTATTATACGAAATTTATATGACTGAAATTTTGGAGTTCGAGTGAAAGTATTATACGAAATTTATATGACTGAAATTTTGGAGTTCGAGTGAAAGTATTATACGAAATTTATATGACTGAAATTTTGGAGTTCGAGTGAAAGTATTATACGAAATTTATATGACTGAAATTTGGAGTTCGAGTGAAAGTATTAATGGATTTATATAGGTCAAATTTTTGTAAAATATAGTAGATCAATAAAAGATTTTTTTTTAATTTATTAAAAAATTTCAATAAAAACTTATCTTTCAAAAAAATAAATAAATATATATATATATTAAATATTCTTAGTTTAGAAAATATTTTTAAATTTTTAATAATATTTCAAAAATATTTTGAACTTAAAAAAAATCATTAATATTTTTAAACATTTTAAAAAGTTCAAAAATACTTTTACCATTGTACTATGCTTAAAAAATACCGATAAAAATTTCAAAGTAACGTTACCACATTTTACCTTTATTAAAAAAAGTTTGAAAAATTCTTACTGTTAATAATATAAACAAATAGACACCTCACAAATTATATCAAAATTTATTATTATTATTATTTAAATTCAAGAGTATTTTTTTATGTTATATTTTTAAATTTTTGTAAAAATTATTAATAGAACTTTTAAAAGGATATTTTTAAACACTTTCACAAACAACGAAAGTTTAAAATATTTAAAATAAATAAATAAATAAAATAAAATAAAAAAGAGATGGGTAACTCTGCCAAGTGGATACAACCAACATATCTCATGAATGGTGATGCTATGGGTGCTCCTCCCAGCTAACAACAAAATTTAGGATTTAAATTGATAAGTTATTAATTTAAAGTTTTAATATATTTTTGTTAGGTGAGAAAAGGATCCACATTAGAATCATTGCATTTACAGTAATATTTGACCATCATATTTAAATATACACATAATTTTTTTTATTAAACACTATCTTTTAAATAAAGTCCAAAAATAAATAGTACTAAACAAGATTAATTATTTTATATTGGGCGTTTTATGCCTAGAAATTTGAACCAAGGAATTAAATAATAGCTTATTAAAAGTCAAATTAATTAATTGTTCGATAAGAAAACGTGTTAAACTATATTTTTAGTCCCTTTAATTCCGGATTTGTGTTGTAAAGACCTATAGAATTTGAGTGATTAATTAATTGAGATCATAATTCACTTTTCTTTGGTATTTATTGATTATTTACCTTGTTTTTACTTTATTTGGTAATAATTTGATTATTCAAACAAAATTAATTAATTGGATTTGTGGATGGTAATATTCTAAAAATTTATCCTTATACTAACCAATTGAACATATTACAATTAATTTATACGTGTACCATAAATATAAGAAGTTAGAGGTTCGAATCGTCTCAATTTCACGTGTCATTGAACTAAAAAAATTACTATATTATGATTATTGATATCATACACGTGCTCTAATAAAATCTCACTACACCACAATAGATGACTTATTATCAATATTAATAGAAAAAGAAATAATGACTAAATTAATAAAAATATTCTTAGATTAAAACTATTAGTTATGGATTGAAATCACGAGGAATTGGACAACAAAATACGTGTTGAATGATGAAAGTCTCACATCAACTAATAGGAAATGATCATGGGTTTATAATCAAGGAATAATCTCTCTATTGATACGAGGCCTTTTGGGGAAGCCCAAAGAAAAACCATGAAAGATTATGCTCAAAGTGAACAATATCATACCATCGTGGAAAGTCGTGTTCATATAATATGGTATTAGAGTCATGTCCTAAACTTCTCAAATATCAAACAAATGACTCCAAAAGAAAAGGAGGCTACGCACTTTGTTAGAGGGGAGGTGTAAGATGATTAAAGTCCCACATTGGCAAAAAATGTCAGACTAATTAGAAATTTGTGTCCGTGTAAATTTTTAGACTAATTAAAAAATTTGGATTGATTGGGTTAGTGACGTGAACACGAATAAATAAAGTTGACAGCTCAACCAATCTAATACTTTGTTTTTTAGATTAGGTTGTTTTTTTTTTAATTATATTAATAACTAAAATTTCATAAAACTCAAATATCAAACATTCACGTGTCATAACGCATTAACCTCAATTACAAACGTAAAAAATTCTTAATTTTTACAACAATTTTAAAAATAGAAACGGATTGAGTGCAACCGAGCTCAACTAAGAAAACATAACTACACGAACTAATTTAAATTTTTAATTTTTCAAAATTTTAATAGAATACCATTTTTACCGTTATAATTTAAATGGATGAAATTTGAGTTCACATGAATCAGGTCTGGAGAACAATGTTTTGAAAAGGTGGTTGACCTGAAGAGACAGGATGGCAGGCGAAGGTGGGGGATTGGGTGAAGAATTTGAGGCCTTGAAAGTGTCAGCACGTTTGTATGGGAAACACTCGTTTTCCTTATTTCATCACCACAATTCCTAATTTCGCCGTTGGGCATTTGGGATGCTTAGTTCAACAATTCGACCAATAACTTTTTCTGCGATTCAACCGAACTAAATGCATGTTAGAACTAAATTCTCATTTCAATCATTCAAAGACACGAGAAATAATAAAATTGAAGTTTACAATTTTATTGAAGAAAAAATCGATGTTTTTATATTTTAAAATGAAAAAAGAATCGAAATTTAATTATCAAAATAAATTACTTTAAATTACATTATAAATTAATCCTTAGTTTTAGAAATAGTTTCGAAGTTTTTTATTTGATTTTTATAATTTAGTTGGCTATTTTTTATTTGACCATAAGTTCATTATTCAAAAAAAAAAAAACAATTTTAGGCCCCTCGTACCAAAAATATGGTTAACAAATTAATTAAATGCATATAAGATTATTGTACAAATATACGGGAAGGAATAAAAATTAGTATAAATTTAGAATTCGATGAAAAAAATTAAAAAAAGGTTAATAAATTTATTTACTTTTATTTAAAATGGGAACTTTTTTTTTTATTGGTCCACGTGGGAGCACGCTATAATGCTTCCCGTTTTGGACGTCTTCTACCTGTCGTTTCTTTAAAGGCCAAAAACTCGCCAAATTTAGCCGATTAATCGGCCAGGAAATTATTGAAATTTTCAAGAATGTTCTAAAGTATTCCATTAGAGTTTGGAAATTAGACCAAAGCTGTTCAATCATTTTTGACGTCTAGTGCTTGTCTTTATTCTAATTCTTTTAATTTTTTTTTCTTACGTAAAATATATACAACATGCATGAGATTCTGTGTGAAATTCATGATTTCACTTTCATGTTATCTTTACAAACATTTTTCATGAGGCTAACATACATACATAATCGTGACGTTTCTAACATACTTTATAACATCTATTGATATGTAGTGTCTCAATAGTTATACATATGGACATAAGATTCATATGCATGCAAGTACGATATATCAAATAAAACACATAATAAACAGTCGTAAGACGCTGGTTGTGTTGAAGATTATTGAGAAGGAGTCTCACGTTGGCTAGTTAAGAGGATGATCATGAGTTCGTACATAAAGAATATTTTCGTTCGTATGAGACCTTTAGAACTTTTGTTCAAAGGGTACAATATATCATACTAATGTCGAAATTCGTGATTTCTAACAGTTTGATGATACAACACGACAATTTCTTCCATCTAGCTGTACTAATCTTTACTAACTTCAGTTACATCACAAGGAATAGCAAAAAAAAAAAAAAAAAAGAGTAGTGGGAAGGATAATTACTCATTTACTTCCGCTACGAGGAAATAGGGAATTTCATCTCGTAAAATTATGGTCCCAGCTCCTTATTTGATCGAGCTCCTAAAATAATATTCATATTAAATTGGTTATAAAAATCATTTTCATCCATGTAAATCAAAGAACAAACCATTACACGTACGAATTTATAACTCACTAAAATTAACATCGTGCCAAACATTAATTTTCAATTAACGAATATTTATATAAAAAAAAATTAAATATTTCATGGTATAGTCTACTCATTTTATAGATATCGCCACTCACAATAACGATATAGATCAAATCATTTATACTAATTATAAGGTGGATTATATCATCAGTATAACTAAGATAAGACGTCTAACTCTATCCATATATTCCATATATTTTATGTTATTACTTGAATGTGATTTTCCTATATGTCAACCACGTCTGGTTTAAGATTACATTATTAATGTTGAATAGATAATATTAATCAAAAAAATAAAATAATCAAAATTATTACTAAAAATTAAATAGCTTATTACAAATTTTAAGAGCATAAATACCAACGAGTAATTTTATAAATTTTTCTTGGTTCAAACACGAGGTCACTCCCCTTATATTTATGATTATGTATGTACCTTGTCACATTATTAGGCTACTACGATTAGCGAGAAGTCTTTTATAGTTGATCTACATATCTATCTTGGTTGGTTTTACAGGAAACTAACTCCGTTGCACACTTAGACTCGTTAAACCTAGAAATATGACATTTATGCTTCAAGATAAAAATGAATGAATATCTCAAGCGAGTGAATACCAAGTATAAGAGACTATAGCATTGTTTTTAAGTTATAGTTGTCCTAATCTGGGTTAAAATGGCACACAATGGTGTTTTAGAGCAACGTTGTGTGCTAGGTTCTAGTAGTCAAGAGCCGTCTTTCATACATATAAATAAGACAATGATACTAAAAAAACTTAATTTTTCACGTATATATCCAAGAACTAGCGACTCAGCCACTTAGCTTTGAATCTCTTTAGCTTTTTATAGATTAATTTGGTATGTTAGTCAATTTTGA